TCTTAAAAAATGTTAGTTTATATTATTTTATTTTATTAGTTATACGAGTTTGGCCCTTTTTGACATTACAATACATATTTTTGTGTAAAATTTTTAAGCATTTTTTTATATATATAATAATATTAATGTAATGTTATTATTATAGTTATTATTATTATTATTAAGCAATACAATTTGCTATTTTCGATAGGCACCTAAATTGAATTTTATTACATAAAAATATCTAAATTGTATTTTTGAATCGTTGATTTTATATTTTGTCTATATAATAGACAATAATTATATAATATAATATATGTATAATATGTGTACCTTTGCACCAGTAGAGTACATGTAGCCATGTAGGTGATAACATGAGGATCTTTAATAGACCCCTATCTCCATTTTGTTTTCTTGACATCAGGATAATATATAATACAACGAAAATTAATATTTTTAAATGTTAATCAATAAATAAATTCAAAACATTTTAGATCATCGACATTTTACGAGCCTACCTAACCTACCTACCTATCTATACCTATAGTTTATTACCCTATTACAAAAAAACTCAAGTTTTTGTAACAGTGTAATGCATCAGTTGAGCTTGTAATATTATTTAAATTACACATTTCTTGTTAATAATAATTTGATTTACCTACAGCGGTTACAATTAGTTAGGTGCCTATAGGACTATATAAATGAAAAATTGCAAATTGGGTTTATTTAAAAAATTTTTTTTTTTCAATTACCTATTGGATAATTATTTTACTCTTATTATCTTATGTACCTACATCCTACAAGCTCAATTGCCCGCTATTATTGTGAAATATTTTAGAGAAAATACAAGTTAAACACACTAAATTAGATTAACGTGTGATGCTAACAAATCAAAATTTGAAACTATAGAACCTTTTAAGGTTGATACTTCTTATTTCTAATTAAATTAACCACTTTTACTACATTTCTTATGCAGCTTGTATAATTTTATTTTTGTACGTCCAAGGTACAGCTATATACGCGATCTGTCCATTATTGCGTCCGACATACACGATATGCCTATTAAAGTAAATAAATACTGGTAACTGGAAATCACATATTTTTAAAATATTAATGTACGATACACAATACCATTTTAAGTTCTACCAATCGAATATTCGTTTAGGTTTATTGGATATATGTCAAAACAGCTTATGACATCGTGAATCACGTGATTTCAGACATATATTTTAAATTATTATAACATTAAACATCTTCAGCTAAGAATTTAATGCTATAGAAAACTATGTAACTTACTAATGCATTATAATTTCCTCAAAAAATCACAAAATGTGTAGGTACACTCCAATTATAATATTACATATTAATATGGGAAAAAAACTTTTCGTCTTTCATGTTCATTTGCTTCTTGTACCTCATAATACATAATTTATATTATTACCTATTTATCGATGTTACTTATTGACTCATTATGACTTATGTTTAACATATTGTAATCTATTTCTATAAAATTAAAATTAAAATGTCAGTAGGTATATAACCTAACCTAGGTGTACAAAAATTAAATTTCGATTTAGTCCCTATAGTTTATAAGTTATAAGTAGAAAATACCTTGTTTAAGGAACGGAATAAATAGGTACATAACATAAATATGTAGAATATAACACATTTTACCTATATACAATATAGGTGGGTTTTAGGTACCGATAGGCTAACGATAGGTAAGTACTATGTACACTACAGTTATCACTTATCGAATTGAAAAAATAAAGTTACAAATTACAATCATTTTCAATTGCATAATAATATACCTGGTCATTACAAAAAAATGTTTTATTATGAGCTACACGCGTTGCATCGTCAAGTACTCATGTACGGATGAATGTATTATTATTATATATACCTAACTACCTTATGTGTAGGTACATAGGTAAGTATATAGGTGCGGTTATACGCGTCTTATATGTGAATTAAAGATTCGTAGGCACCTATATATAATATTAATACTGTATTAATGTAGTGGTGTATTGGAGGGTATACGCGGGTATACGTCGTATACCCGGATCCCTATTTTTGGATTTATGCGTATACCTTTAAGAAAATTAGTCTTTTATGGGTATACGTACGCTTCTAATTTATCATCAGACAATTTAGGCATATTATCACCAAACAAAAGTAAAAACTTAAAAATAATAATAATAATAACCTAAATTATATTTAGTTATAATATTTTATTATAACATAAAGTGCACTGTCCAAAAATACTAAAAATAGCCCCGTACCCGCATGAAGTTCGATTAAATTTTACCCGACGTTTTCTTGCGAAGACGATCGGAAACTGCCGAGCAATACAATCAATCAATGAACAATCAATGTACAGCGGTTTCCAAACTGTAAATAAACATACGTAATTTCATTTCAAACTAAATGATAATGACAAATTAGAATAATAATAAAATAATTATTGTTGATGTATTGTGTTATTACTTGTCATCCAATAACCAAATTATAAAATCGAACTATTAGTTTCTCATTATATTAATTCTATTAATTTTGAAATTCTTTTAAATTTGTAAAATATTTTATACAAATAAAATATATATAAATATTTGTATATAAATATATTATAATATTATATGATCGATAATGGATAATAAACGTACCGCTACTTCTACTATATAAGTATTTTACTGTACAATTGTTTTAAAATTTGATAATAAAAAGTTGTATTATTTATGATATATATCATATATGAATTGGGAACAAGTCTAGTTTACCGGGCACATATTTTTTTTGAAATTTTTTTTTTGAAAAGGGTTGTTTTGACGAGTTAAGAACGATGGTGCAAAAATAAAATTGCGGAAATGATTATTTTGGAAGTTATAGCTTCCCAAAGTTAACGATTTTACGTTTATACGCGTGCGCGCAACACTACTATAATGCCGCGCGGAGGACCTCGAGTTTGGCGACCGTTTGGCAACCCTTTTAAAAAAAAAATTTAAAAAAAAAAAAAGGTGCCCGGTAAACTAGACTTATACCATGAAATTGAATTAATTAAAAAAAAAATAATACATTGATACTTGGTACATATTACACACAGTGGAGTATATATGAATTAATTTTATGGTTGTGGGTGAATATAGGGCGAACTGGGGGGCGTATATAGGGGGGTATATACGCCACTGCATATACATATACACATGAAGAGTAAGTGTTTGTAATAAAGTTATAAAAGATTATTAAATACAAAGTGTAATCATTTTTTGAGCGGAGCGAGAAAATTTTTAAGGTAGGTATATCGTATATATATATTATAGGTATATTATACTATATTCAACTACTTTAAGGTGCGTATACCCATAAATTTATTTACCAATACACCACTGAAATTAACTATAATGTATATACAGTATACACTCATAATATGTAACTTATTATTATTCCCCAAACATGCATAGCCCCCTTTTATTCTGTACTAATGCATTTATTCAAATTATATTTATTTTGAATTTAAATGCCTACACTGTTTACTTGAACACCATTTTTACAAAAATATTTTTCATAATGTTCAAATTATCATTTATCAAAGCCTCGTTTCTGGATTCTTGATATCATGAATTATTATCTTTAGTACTAAAAATTTAATAACTGGGAATCTAGGTACCTATTGTCAGTGTCGTAGCCAGAGGGACTATAGCCCCTCCCTATTGACCGTGTTTACTTTAGCCTCTATTATATTATTATATTTAAAAAAATGTGAGTGAAAGAAAATTTAACACCCATACAAAATTTCTAAGTACGCCACTGCTTATATTAAACTATCGTCCAAATTTTGAATTAGATGCATCGACGTTTTTAAGTAAAACAGGTTGAACGTTAGTTCTTATTTGTAAAAAAAAAGTTTGTATAGCCACGCAACACAACTTAAACAAACGCAATTTTTCAAAATATTTGAAAATAGGTACTGAAGTAGACACACTTAAAAATGTCAAATATCCGAATCTGAATAAATTCATAATTCAAGGAAAAATTGTAGTGAGCTTGCTCGGTGAATCACCATGTACACATATATATATATATATATTTATGAGTATAAATAGATAGGTATGTATATAGTCCGATAGTCGTATACTGTACCCATAGGTAAATAGGTAATTATGACATCAAACTAACCGTTTAAGGTAAAAGAAATGATTCTCGTAGTAGGATGTAAATCCTACGTGCAACTATACAAACCACGAAAAATCTGTTTTCGCGCGCGGAAACACTTCCATTTTCGAAGAGTATTATAATATAGTTGTACAATAATAATAACATTGTAATTGCAACGACCACACGGTCAAACCTTATTGTAATAATATTATGATGCCGCGAGAATCGAACAAATTATTAATGCACTTTGGGCGGGAGGTATAGGGGCCGGACGAATAGAGACGAACGCACGGTTAAATAAATACGTTATCGGTGCACCAGTGTATGGCTATATAGGAACCTACATATTAATATTATATAGGTAGTAAATATATATATATATATACTATATTATGCTATCGCGTACACTCGTCGTCCGACCGACAGCCTCTGAAAAAGGAATTATATTAACTGCAGCGTGATTGACCGCGTCAGATATGGTCATAAACTCGCGCGTATTGTGTTAGCGTCGCCGACGATGACGGACGGACGACCTTTACCGTCGTCGGGCCCGCCGCGGAGACCCTACCACGGCGGATTTTCACTTTCGACCGCGGAACGGTGTCGCGCGGCGGCCGTGCCTATATAAATTGACTCGAGCCCGCCGTCGCAGTGTACACATCGCATTCGTCGCTCCTACGATCGCATCGCGCAAACGCCGTTCCGTTTATTTATTTATTTATTCGTCACTTTTCGCAAGGTAGGCAAACACGTTCAGTCGTCTGCGAGGCCGATATTTTTCCTCCAGATTATTCGTATTTTGTCCCCCCGCCGTTCAGTCCTGGTGGTCGATGATAAGTTTTATTTTTCATTTCTAGAAAACTGCAATCATGTGCGACGAAGACGTGGCAGCTCTGGTAGTGGACAACGGTTCCGGTATGTGCAAGGCCGGATTCGCAGGCGACGACGCGCCCAGAGCCGTGTTCCCGTCCATCGTCGGACGTCCGCGGTACCAGGTAAATTATACACTATAATGGCCGACAATATTGTGTTCTATACCAACGATTACGATTGTTTGGTATTACCCGCGTCATATTTTTCATTATATAATATACACGTGGCGCGTGTCTGCAGGGCATCATGGTGGGCATGGGACAAAAGGACAGTTACGTCGGAGACGAAGCACAATCCAAGAGGGGAGTGCTGACAGTCAAGTATCCCATCGAACACGGTATCGTCACCAACTGGGACGACATGGAAAAGGTGTGGCACCATACGTTCTACAACGAGTTACGTGTAGCCCCCGAAGAGCACCCAGTGTTGCTGACCGAAGCGCCGCTCAACCCGAAGGCCAACAGAGAGAAAATGACACAGGTAAGGAGTGATGATACGCAACTTCTGGACTTGGCCCACCCAGAAAATTGACTAGATTTACTAGTTGATCGATTCAATCCATGGCCAAACAATATGCAATTGAAGTTTATTACTAATTTATGTGTACCGAATTCAAGGCGGGTGTTAGTCCAAAATATACTTACAATAAATTGTATGTCATTATAATAATATGTTAGGTATTTACGATTTACCTAAATGCTATTAAGCCTCTATAATGTCGGTCCTGTGATAATTAAGTTTCTTGCACGTTGCACACTTGCGCGTATGGTTAAAACATGAAAAATCTATATGCCACTATGGCAGGAGTCCACATTCCAGGGCTAGGAGAAACTAAAATTTAGATATACGTCTAGGGGGGGGGGGGTTAAGTCAGGTACATGATTAGACACGTTGTGCTGAAAGACATATAGTCACCGCATATACTTGACATAATTATAAGATGTAAATATTATTGTTTTCAGATCATGTTCGAAACGTTCAACACCCCGGCAATGTACGTAGCCATCCAAGCCGTACTCTCCTTGTACGCTTCCGGTCGGACGACTGGTATAGTTTTGGACTCAGGTGACGGCGTGTCCCACACCGTGCCCATCTATGAAGGTTACGCTCTACCACACGCCATACTCCGTCTGGACTTGGCCGGCCGCGATCTCACAGACTACCTGATGAAGATCCTCACCGAAAGGGGTTACAGCTTCACGACTACCGCTGAACGAGAAATTGTTCGCGACATCAAGGAGAAGCTGTGTTACGTGGCACTCGACTTCGAGCAGGAAATGCAGACGGCCGCGTCGTCCAGCGCTCTGGAGAAATCCTACGAACTCCCGGACGGACAGGTGAGTCATGAGTGTAAAGACCGACGAGTCCCTCGACCCCGACTCAGGAGTCGTTGATTCTTAATGACCTGATATCAATTATTGATTTATAATCGTTCCTCGTGCTCCGCAGGTGATCACCATCGGAAACGAGAGATTCCGTTGCCCGGAATCGTTGTTCCAACCTTCGTTCTTGGGAATGGAATCGGCCGGTATTCACGAGACCACGTACAACTCAATCATGAAATGCGACGTGGACATCAGGAAGGACCTGTACGCCAACACGGTACTATCCGGAGGCACTACCATGTACCCGGGCATCGCAGACCGGATGCAGAAGGAAATCACGTCACTCGCCCCGTCCACAATGAAAATCAAAACGATCGCACCGCCCGAACGCAAGTACTCCGTGTGGATCGGTGGCTCCATCTTGGCGTCCTTGTCTACTTTCCAACAGATGTGGATTTCGAAGACCGAATACGACGAGAGTGGCCCGTCCATTGTTCACAGAAAATGCTTTTAAGATGCAGGACTACAATTATAGAGGATATACACACTCACATAATATACATTATATAATAATATATATACATTACACATATATTATTATATTGACTAAATTGACGTACACATAAAACTATTTATATATTTTTATATATTTAATTTATTAAGTTATTTGGAAGTATAAACAGATTTTTAAAAATTATATATATATATATATATATATATTATATTATATGCATGATTGTATAGGGAAAATACACCTAGTTGCAATTTATTATAATTTATAGTATATTGGTGCCTATACTAACTTACCTGTCTAAATATCAGTAACATCACAACGACAACAATAATTAATTTATTACGTTTTATTACGTTGATCATGTAAAAACTACAAATTACCAATTTTATTTAACTACTAGAGTCTAGAAATGAGCATAATGTGTTGAAGTAAATACCTACTCCACATTTTCTCATCAAATAAAAATCAAAACAAATACATTTTTCTGCCGTCTTTACTCCACTCAGAAAGTATCAATTTAGTCCATATTTTTTTCATAATAAGAGCAAAATTTGATTCATTTCTTAGTTCTTAATAGGTACTAGATAAATATTACCACCAAATTAGTTTGTAAAAAATTTAAAATGCCAATATGTATACGTTACAAAACATTATAATCCCATTAGCATTGAATTTAAAATACTCAAATAAGACATAGAATAGGAGCTTTTGGTTACAACAAATATTCTTTCAGCCGCTAGGTTTGCTGTATCCGTTTTCATTAAGCGCAATGTTAACGGATACAGAGAACCTATAGGAGCTGCCAGTATATTTTTAGTAACCGAAAACTCCTAATTCCTATGCTATGGTTTATCTGTGTAAATCAATGCTATGTCCTAATTAGCTGCCGGCAAAAGTAGGCGTAGCCACCAACAGCACATTTGTTTGGCCCCGACATTAGTTATAATCCTAAATAGGCAATACTTATCATTTTATCAACAAAGTATAACAGGTATTTAAATTTTTCAACACAGGTTACAAAAAAATAAACAAAACTTGAAATTTAATTTATTAATCATATTATTAAATATCAAGGTAATATGAAAATGTTCACAAATATTATAAATTTAAGGGTCAATACTCAATAATAATGAATTAATAAATTATAAATAACTTTACCATATAAACATTTTAACAACTTTAAGTAATAACAGTAGAACTTTATAGATTGTAGATTCATATTCAAAAAGGTTATATATTTCGGTCGATGTGATTTTCGCCACCAAAGAAAGAATTAAAAATTTAACAATATCCAATAAATAATTATGGATAACCATTTTATCTTGTTACTTAATTTCCTAAAAGCTAGTGGCAATTTTAAGCCATCAGTCATGGTTAGTCATAAATCATAATACAATAAAATATTATTTATGTCACTGTACATAATTGTTCACTGAAAAAATACAAGATAAAAAAAATCATAAAGAAGAAAATGTTTTCTTGAATTTACTTAAACAACACATGTAAATTTAGAAACATTTAATTTATTTTTCATTTTTAATGTTTTTATTTAATCAAAAATTATCTTAATTTTTTAATTACCTATAACTTATACGGCTTTATATAAACAACTATAAATACCTATATAATATTCTATAGCAAGCTTAGTTGTACATAAAATAGTAAAATACAAGTTATTACAAATACTTTCTTGTTTAGATAATTAAAATTATCTAAATTTTGCTTTCTTAATAATACTTGTTTGAATGTTTGATATCTAAATTTGACACTATTCTCAATTAAAAATGCCTTCATGTTAAGGTATACATTCAATATCTTCATGACACAATATCCACATTTTTATTTAGATGTTTCTACAACCAATAGCATAAAATGTAAAACTAATTTCAAATTAGTATTGTTAATTTCTCCATTAAAAGTAATTGTTTTACTTTTAAACTAATACATGAAAATATGTTTAAAATCAACTATTGTTACAGAGTAATCTATAATATTTATAACATTATCATGAGACACTGATAGGTACCCATAGTAATCATCTACAGTGTGCCCTCATGCTGTCACATATACTAACTGACAGAAATTAAATTGTAATGCTTTTTATGTGAACTGGGATTTGATTAACAGTTTGATCATCCAACCAAGTACACCGAATACTTAATTAAAAAAAAAAACAGCTAATTAATGTAGCAATTTCTTCAAGTAGTCATAATTGGTATTAAGTCCTATCAGAAATCACATTAACTAACTCGTTACTAATTAGTAGATAGTAAAAAATTTGTGTGAATCTGTAAATTACTTCCTGCTTAACTTTCAACATATTTCCGATTTGGTTAATTTTAAGTGTACTATCACCATTGATATGATAACACCATAGTATATGCAGGTATTAAAATTATATTATCCCAAAAAAAGCTCTAGCTAAAAACCATCTAGAAGTTTGTGGACACCAACCAGTGTGAAAATAAAATGCACTGGCTTATGTTGACAAATTTCTAGTAAGCCAGTACAGAGGCAGCTTACTCATTCTACACAGGAAATGCTTTAAAAAACATAAATATTAAATAATGATAGAGACACACAAGTTAAAATCATATAGTATAATATACAATACGTTAATATTTAATAAATAGATAATTAATTTAATTTTTAACAAATTAGAAATACTATTTTATAGGACTTTAGCAGGGTACTATATTTATAATTTGCAACACTTGAATATAAATTAGACTTCTTACAATTTCAAATCCAAATAAAATGTATAAATAAAATAATAAAGTAAAAAAAGGTATATCCTAAATACTAGATAAATATCACAATAAAACAACCTCTGTGGTTGTAAATCATACATACACGATTGTTTTATACATTATATAACAAATAATCAAATGGTTTAAGCGGAAGAGTCCAGATCTGTTAAATTTGTCACAAAAATTACATGAAAGTAATAACTTACATGGTGTCATAAAATTGACTACAACCTGAAGAACGAAGTCCATCTATGTTGCATTCGTTTGGCGCTTGAGACCCATCATTATACCATTGACTGTGATAAAATTTATACCTGTAAATCAACAAGGATAGAATTTTGTTAAAATATGTTTGTAGTATATATAGATTAATACTGCATGCTTAGTTAAATTCAAACTAAATAAATTAGGTAATATATATTGTGTAAGTAAATTAAGCATTAATATAATAATATCACAAAAAATATAACTAACATAATAATTCTGAAGTTTAATAAGTCTTTAATAAATAATATAAGTAGGTAGGTACTAACATTTCAGGTTTCTTTTTAATATGTAAATTGCAGCCAAATGCAGACACAGGTAATTTATCTGTGATTTCAATTGCTTTAATGTTCAATGGACTGGGTAATAAAGTTGTCAATTCTTCCTTATTATTGTCATTAGATTTCTGTGAATGGTGTTTATTACGACCTTCCTTCAAATACTCTATTCGTTTTAATTCCCTAATTCGTTGCATATCCCATCTAAAATAACAATATCAAAATGTTAACATTGCATAATATAAGTACACAAAAATTACAAATAACATATCTAAAATTGCATTACCTTTTACGTTTTTGTTCACATTGTTCAAGTCTATAATGTCTGCTTTCAAAGATATCATCGGACATATTTTCTGTGCCTTCCATAGAATACCAACTAGAATATGTCTTAACCCTCCAACTTGGTATCTACATAACCATACATGTTTATGTAATAAAGACAATACTAAATACTTGACATTATATTATACACGTTAAATCAAATGCTTACTTCTAAATTACTATTAGTATTTTTGGAAACTGGTTCATCTTTTACAGGATCATAGTTTCCTAGGCATGTGTAATATGCATCATCTGCCATGACCAAAGACAATTCTTGCATTTTTCCTATTTTAGCTGTTCATAGTAAATAAGTAAAAATTATACACTGTTAGGAAAATCGAAAATATTATCTTTAAAAAACAACCTGATTTAGCTCGTGTCATCCTAGTTCTGGGCTGTTTTGTCTGGTTGGATTCTAATGGATTTGGGTTCGGTTGTTTAATAGCAGATTGACGAAGCCTTCGCTTTTTTGGTTGAATCTCCTGTTGTTCTTGCTGATCTTGTATTTCAGCCGAACTCAAATCTCCCATGCCAGATGAGCATGTTGAAGAGACTGGTGTGAATGGTAAAGCATCCAAGTTTTCGCCTCTAACAGCTACATCGCCTGCATCAGGAAGACCGTGACTAGCTAACCTCAACCTCTGTTTAAGCTGTACAACAAACCGTTAAAATATTACATGCAAGCTGTATACTTTTACTAAAGTTATATCAAATTGCCAACTCACAAGCTTCACTTCGTTTGTCAACTGTATTATCTTTTCATTTTGCAGGGCCACAGATTTTGAGTACTCTTCTAATAACATGATATTGTCCAGGGTCAGGTCCTTGAGTTTACCCAGCTCGTTGGACGATGGAGGGTAGACGCGGTGGTTGATGGTAGCCACCGTCTGATCGCTGACAGGGACCACTGCCTTAGACTCGACCAGCACCAGTGCGTTTGGGTTATCGAGCCCCTTCTCGCAATGGTTCACGAATCCGCCGACGACGACGGCGCCATTACCGACGTTTACGAACCGTATCTCTTTGGACATCGCCGAGACACGACCGCCACCGCCGCTGTTACATCTACCCGCCGAGCTTATCATCTAACAGCCTTGTCTTACGTATGACGTATCTAACAATGATCGTCGGCACTCGGCGGAATCGTCAGCGGACGGGAGCGATTAGATGATCGCGCGCGCATGCACGTTTGGTGGAAAAACAAAGTACAAACGATTCAGTCGAAAACAGATCGGTGAAGTATAAACGTCGATATTGGTCGGTTGACGCGGAACGAGAAAACGCGGAAACCGGTCAAACGCCGTGCCGCGTGCGCAATGTACTATTGTTTGTCAGTTTGTCGGCCTCGGCCGTCGCGTTTCGGTACGTACTACGTATTAATAACAAATGTGAAATGATTGATCAACGAACGCGGTTCGCAATTACGGTAACACAATAATATTCAAAACACAAACAAACGCGTTATCAGCGCGCAAGGACAGCAGTGCGGGAGTGAGAAACGACGGAACCGGAACGAGCGAGACAGACATCTGGCCGACAGATTAGCCAACGTTCCATTGGTCCTTTTCCCTTTCAGTAGTCAATACTACCTATACTGTGCCTATACCGCGTTACCACAAGTCTGTACGGTTGTAACCATGCTGTCGGTGGCGCACTGGCGCTTATTACCTATATATAAGAACAAAATTTCACGTATTCTTTAACTTCTTGGACGAAATTCTGTATCCAAACCGGAGCACGTATACCTGTTATTTCCTCTACGTTTTGGTAAGTTTTGATCCACGTTATTTTGCATCCACACCGATATCGATTGTTGTGAATTCTGTAATAATTCAAATTTATCTTTTTCGTATTATTGTAATAGATTACACAACTGCCGATTGCAATACAACATTAAACATTGGAACATTTTCTCATATCTATTACCTATTAATAACAACATATCTCAGGGACGTCACTACATTTTTTAAAGCAACGCCGCTATTTCATTAGCCATATATAAGAGAAGTAAGACGTAAGTAATTTGTACTTCTTTTTGAATTTTATTACTTGTTTTTTGCTGTTGTGTAAACAAATTATTACTATACTGTTTAGGTATACATAATAATACAATAGTTCTTATTAGTTGCTTACTGCAAATTTATTATATTCTTAAATAACTAATGATTAGGATTATTGGAATGTCTCATTGTCTCAATATGAAACAAATAAATATTTTTACTGCTAAATAGTTATTAAAATATGTATGTATGTTGTAGGTACCTATCATAAGAAAATATTATGTTATTGTGATTGGTAAAACTTAGTTGATATATCAAATTTTTAAGATTTTTAATCAAATAAATTATGTATTAATAATAAAAGGATCATTGTTTCCAAAAAAAAAACTTTTTATAAAAATTTTCAACTTTTAAAATAACATACATGTCTTATTATTAAATGTATATTTTTGTCTAATAACCTCTTTTAAAGTTCAATATTATAGCATGTCTTATAAAAAATTAATGGGTAGTATTTATGCAAACGCATTAAAATTGTTGTATATTATAATGAGCTTATAATAAATAAACCAATGGAATACAAAATAAAAATACCTATTTAAAATATTAAAATAATATTTTTGTACTACTAAGTTTGGTTTAACATTTTAGTATATAATTGTAACTACTTTGCACCTATCCTATAAATTATTTTTATTTAAATCATGTTGTGTATTTATTTAAGGTACATTTCCATTAATAACAATGCCTAAGAAGAGAATAATTAATCATGATGAGCCTGCACCCGCGAGGCCTCATAGAAATATGGTTAGTATTAATTTATTAATTTGTGTGCCGGTACTTAAAATTAGTTTTTTTTTATTACAGAAAGCCAAAGTAGTGTTTGATCCATCTGATAATCATATACCAAAGAAGAGAGCTAAATATTCTTTCAAAACTGAAAAACCTACAGAAGCTACTACTGTAAAAAAAACTACAAATGTTAGAACTCATGTTAAAAAAAGAAAACAAGTTACCACAAAATCAAAATTTCTTGGGGTAACCGAATTATTAGATGGTTTGTCAACTGAAAACAAAACTAAATCTCCAATAGTTTCACCTACAAATTCTCCAGTAAAAAAAATTGTTCTTGCTGAAGATCCTCCAGATGGTTGTTTTATTTGTTTAACAATTTCAGAAAAGTCAGAATTAACTGACTGTACGATTTGTTCGATCAGAGGTAATAATTTTATTGTAATAGATAAATTCCTTTTTTTATTTTTATTATTTTATAATGTTTATTTATTATTTTTTAGCTCATAGACACTGTTTAATAGTTAATGAGCCCATGTGGAAATTCAAATTAGATTTAGGTCCTTGGCTCTGTAAAGAATGCAGAAAACAAAATTGTAGCAAATGTCTCAAAGATGATTCCCAGTCGGTCAGTAAAAATAATAATATTTATTGATAACTAAAACTTAATTATTAAATTTTCATTAGGAGATAGAGCATCGCTGCATAACTTGTGAAGTTGGTTTACATTCCGATTGTTATGAATCGTGTGATGTTAAACCATTACATGAATTAAATACTGGTATGTATGTATGTATCCCTTGCATGACTTTGGCTACTCAAATAAACCCAGAAGAAGAAGAAGAAGTAGTTGAAGCTGTTAAAGCAGTTAAAGCAGTTAAAGCAGCCGAGCCAGTTGAACCAGTTGAAGCAGTTGAAGCAGTTGAGACAGTAAATGATGTTAATAAAGGTAAGACTGGACAATCCAAATATATTATACCTCATTATTAACTATAAATCAATTAAATAAAATATGTATTTAGATGACGTCGAGTCACGCACCTCAAGTATTCAGTCTATATCATCTGACGAAGATGACACAGATTCAAAAAGTAATAGATCTTATAGTTGTTCATCGGACTGTGAAATATATGATTCTGATCAAAATAATAGTATCCCAAATATAACAAAATGGAATAAAGATCAAGTGTTTAAATATTTAGCAGATGTTTTACCCAAAGAAATTATTGATCAAATAATTAAATATGTAAGATATTATTAATTAATTTATAAAAAAAATAATAGTTTCATATATGTAGTTATACTATGTATAATCTATAATTTATAATGAAAAAAGGTATTGTAATATGAAGTATTCTATAATTCTAGGATCTTGATGGACGTGCTGTACAATTACTTCAACGGGATGATATCATATCAAACATGGGTTTGAAACTTGGACACGCATTGAAATTTTACAAACAAGTGCGAATTTTACAATCGCAAAGTACTCTCAGTCGCATATTTTGGGAATAATCATTATTACACGGTGTAATTTACACCTAACATCCACATATCAAGGAATGATATAATATTGTGTTCATATTTTTTTTTTCTATAAAATATAATTATAGTAGGTTATAGTACCCGTCCTCTATAAATGTTTGAAACATAATTGCAATTAGATATTATACAAAATACTCTGTGTTTACCAATAGAGAAATGTACTTATTTAGCTAATTTTATATAAAATTCCATAATTGTAAATATTTTAGTTTTGGCTTCATAAATGTTTATACTGTGTGATATAAATAATGATGAAAACATCCTAAAGTACATACCATAGTGGCCATGACTCGACTATGTACATAATCACTGTACCATGTTTCATAAACTAAAAAAAAAACCTATAATAATAGTTCACCATAGAGGTACACAAAAATATGTAATTAACAATAATAATATGCTACTACCTATATTTTAAATAATAATACTACATACATTCTACAACCTACTTGTTTTTATGTTAAATGGTAATATAGTATTATCACTATTATCCATGTTAATGGTCCTTCGTATAACATATAGGATATTAATAATGGTATATTTTATAGGCATATAATATAATGTGCATTGTGCATAATGCATATACATATATAAACATTTTTAAAACTAGCTATTCTTTGTAATTGTGTTCTATTATTTACTTGTACATAAATACATTGTCAGTGCTTGAATTGAAGGTACTCAAGCGGTTTTAACACCCTCTTCTTTTTAAAAATATTTATACGAAACCTTCCTAATTATATTTTAATCAATAAGACATTTTAAACCTTTGCAACCACCTAATTTTTTTTCTCTATTCAAGCACTGCACATTGTTGATATTATGCTGTATTGCCTGTTTCTGTACTACATTTTGTATACGTTTGTAGTCTGTACCTTATGCTTATAGTTATTCTTATTATTGTAATATTATTTATTTTTGTCTGAAAAAAATATGTCAGAGAAATAACCTAAACAATTAAGTCAATAAATAGTATTTGGCTGATTTAATTTTTTATTTCTTCATGACTACATCTCATTTTTACAGCCCGACCTTATAACTGTTCATTGTTGCCTCCTATATGTCCTAACCTACATTGTTTTCATCCTGTTCACCACCACTGATATAATAACTCCGTAGTTGGATGTTTCATCAAATATTTTGTTATTCCGATGCCACTGGGACTGGATTCAAAAAATCATTTATATCAATTTTATTCATTGACTTTTCATTTAACAGTGGCTATTTTTGTTTGCACTGCCTACGACCCACTTTGTGTACTACAAAATCTCAAAAGTGCACTAGTTTCAACTTTTCAAGTATCTGCACAACAAAATAAGAAAATCGTTCTATGAGAATTTGCAAATGTACAGCTAAAAATCCAATATCAAAAAAATTTTAACTTTAAACGCTCATACAAAATTAGTTTGACTTTCCGGTAACCTCAGAAACATTTTTATTGTGGATTTACAATCATCTTTTTTTTTTTTAATTTCCTTTTTGGACTCTGGTTACGGTTAAAACTTATACACCAACAACAAACCCTGATACTATCATAGATATATAGTAGTATACTTTAGAAGTTTCAAGTACCCACGAATAATATTATACAATCACAACAAAATAACTAAAATAGTTATTCTAGGTTTTTAATTATGTAATTTCGTCCAAATTTGAACTTAAAATTACTATAAAAATAAACTGTGTCTATATGTAATTTTTTGGTTACAGTATGATGTATTTATGAGAACCTTTGTTCAGTGGCGTTCGCAGGGGGGGGGGGGGCTAAAGGGCTGAAGCCCCCCCCATTGCCCGTATTATTGTTACTTTTTCAAAAAAATATTAATAAAGTTAAACTGTCAACTATAGTAAGCAAGAAGTAAATTTCATATATGTCTTACCAGAATGAATTCATTTTTGAAAGAACATTGTATTTGCATAAATTATCTGTAATTTTTAGGTAAAAGTATGAACTACTTGTATGAAAGACCTTGTATTAAATTGTCTAGCCTTAGCTATATATTATATTTTATATTTTATAAGTTTTGAACTACAAATTAACTGTCATTTTGACAAAATTTGAACTTTAAATGCTTATAAGAAATAACCATGGTGCCTATGTAGTGTTTGAAGTATGAAATATTCCACAAAAACCTGACACATTGAAATTATTTTACACAAATAAAAACACAATTTATTTATTTTTTTAACACAATATTCAGTGTTCTAAATTCTAATGACAGAATTCAGTATTTATACAATAAACATGTATAATATTGTATATTTGTATACCTACTTGTATCATTTAAACATTAAAATATTTAAAAATTTTGAATACCATTTTAAATGTATAATACCAAAGGTTAGGTATACATACAGGTACTATATAGTTATGAAGGTAATTTATGACAATTATATGTAAATATAAAACTTATTTAAAAATAAAACAAAATATATCAACATACTGAAATATTTCATTTTTTTAAATTTCATGAAATTTTCAAACACTATGCCTATGTATCGTTAATATTTTAGCTATAATAAAATAACTAACATATTACATTTTTAAGGTTTTTGACCGGATAAATATAATTATGTTATAATAATTAAATATAATTTTTTATTAACATTTATATAGAAAAAAAAATTTAATTATTCAAATACAATCCAAGTGAAGACGGTATAACCAAACATTTAAATAAATTTTCATTTTTTTTTCTCCAATTATTTTTAAAAGCACTGAGAATTTTCAATTTCGACCCCCTAAAAGTACCAACTAGATCCAATTTGCTTCCAAAAACATACACTGGGCATCGAAGCTTATGATCAGAGCATTTTTTCTACCAGAAAGTTGAAATGTTACAAAAATTTTAAAATACCTCAAATAAACATCTGAAATTATTAGACTGGACAAAATAAAATGTAACTAATTTTCAAGCCCCCCCCCCATTGAAAAATCCTGCGTACGCCACTGACTTTGTTTTAAATTTGAAAATCCTTAGCTATAAAAACTGAACATTTTATAATTTATTAATTACAATGATTGATAATTTTCGAGATTTGGTACATTTTGTCAAAATTCGATCTTTAAATGCTTATAAAAAAAAATTGTGCCTATGTAATTTTAATATTGTTCAATTGCTATTGTAAAAATATATCAAGAGCCTTGTATTAATTTTTTACACTTTTTTGCCCAACAGATAAAACTTTATTGATATTTATAGAAAAAAAAAACTAAAAAAATTGAAAACTGAAAATGTCCGTAAACGGCTCAAAAAGAGTCAAAATATTTTAAAAATTGTATGGTGTATAGGAAATGCTAATATAAACATTCAGTGAAATTTTCATGTATCTACAGTAATTCATTTTTGAATTACAACAAAATAAGGAAATCGCCACATGAGAAATCGAGTGAATATCCAACCTTGTAAAAATATGAACATCAACATCATAACCACTTATAAAAATTTAATTTGATTTTCTCGTAGACATTTTTTTTTTTTTTTTGATAAAGGTAGACAAATTTATGAGGAATCTTGTATTACATTTTCAAATAGTGATTATGAATAATTGGGTTATTGGTTACACACTTACACCTACACTTACACTAATGATAATAATAATAATAGTTATGAAAATATGGTAGGAATTAAAAAAAATACCGCATGGTTTATAAGTCAAGAATACTATAGTGTATGGGTGATTGAACACTGATATTATACCTATAGACTATAGTAATTTTGGAATTGTATCTTAATTTATTATCTTATGTTTTCCCCCAATTTTAAATGTTTAAAACGCCGGAACTTTATTGCTCCGGAACTAATTTATTAATTGATAACATTGTCGTTAAAGCTGGTCTCAGCTCACGGGCTCGAGTCTGGTATCACAATAATTGGTGAAATAATACGTGAACATAATAAATTACAAAATGTCGACTACGTGAATGTGGCAACATCGTATAAAATATTCTATGCTCAATCGTGCTTTACCGAACCGAGTCCGTTCGGCCACTCGGTAACATTTACAAACATTATAACGCATTAAAAAAAAAAATCATTTTAATGATTATTTTTAACTTAAAGTAAAAAATTGAATATGAGTTAGACATAGTCATTATTTATTCTGCCTGGAATCCCCAGACTCCTTGTACACCCTCCAAAAAAGAGCCACCGATCGTGATCTGATCTATCACGAATGGTCTTCATTTGTCGCTCGTACATTCGTATTGGAAATGTAAAATATGTCTAACCGCACAAATTCATAAACAACATTAAATTACCTATCCACCCCCTCCATCAAACATAAGGTTGACTGGAGTACAGAAAGAGTGCGGTACAGTTTTTTTTGTTGTTTGAACATTAGAGTGGTTGTCTAAAGGATTAAACTTTGATCTTTACTATAGTGAACATTGAGCATAATATGGCTTGCGGTTAAAAATAAATTGAAAAGAGATAGGTCACAACTTATAATATTTTTCGATCTTCGATCGTATAATAAAAAGACATTTTTTAGAGTTAAATAATAATACGTTTATTGTACCTATATTATATTACGAGGCGACGTTTTACAAAAAAATTCGCAAATACTTAACAGTATGTAGGTATAATATAATATATAACAATATTATATAACATACATATTATCATGAATGTATGGTTTTATTTTTAAAGATAAATATTTCATTTACAAAATATATGGTAAATACAAATACTCATTTTAACGACAATACACTAATTTCACTAAGTTTTAACAATAAAACGAAAAAAAAAATACTTAAGATACAAATTTCCAGTCTTGTATTTAAAACAGCTTATTAAAAAAAAAAAAAAAAATAATAATAATAATAATTAAATAATATTTAAATAAAATAATAATATAATTATATAATTATATTGATTGGGGGAGGGGGGGCTGCACGTTTGGATAAAATAAAAAGCGGCACATGCATTTAGAGTCAAACGTGTCGTACGTGAGGAACTACATAAACCGTATTTGCAGTAAGTACATAGTTTTCGCAAACACACGATACGTTTCAATAGAAAATATTCGGTATTTATAATCGAGCTTTTCGTGTAAGTATTTTTCTACAAAAATAAAAATAGTAATGCTCTAAAACGATGCCCTCCTCAGCGGTTTTAATCGTAAAAATAATGGAAACCTAATGGCTTGGAACAATATAGAATATCACAAATTTGTCCAACTACAGTAACAACGACAGCAACAACGCACACGTGTTATACCTATACAGCCCCTTAAGTAAAAACATTGGTAAAAACGAATAAATTACATTTCAATTTTATACCAGACCACATCAATACAACGGTTTTTCGTCTTCACTCGACATGTCTGTGTTGCTCAGCAAGTTCGCTTTGTCTTCTTTTTTCGACTTTCCCAACGACAACAGACCTCCAATCTTTTGCGGTCGGAAATCCGGTTCGAAACATGGCTAAAAACAATAATTTTAAAATTATTTTTAGCTGAATGTCGTTCAATTATTAATAATAATAATAATATTTTATAACTAGGACCCACTTTTTTATGCAAACCATAAAATATATGTCCTACATATTTATGCACACAAAATTTCAAAAATATGCGAACAATATACATCAATCAATGTAAATTGTAAGTACTTTATCCATAAAAATACTTGAAAAACATTATAAAGTTAAGGTATTATAAGTTATAAGTACAATTATTATAAGGTACCATTTTCAATTATTTTTATACAACAATAATTAGTATCTATTGTACAAAATATTCTTACAACGATACATTATTTATTCAGCCGACCGTTCGATTATGTTAGGCTCAAAACGGCTTTATAGCCAGTTGACCATTATGTACAATCGAAATGTAATCAAACTTTGAGCAAAATTTAAATTATTTTCATTTAATGTCTATAAAATATGCCAATTGTACGCGGTTTCCTCAAAATGTATAACTATTCTATTAATATTTCGACTCGAATTCGCAAGAACGTGAAAAAAAATCATCCACGGAATCCATATAGGTATGCATTACGAAACGACGGCACGTTTAAACCAAATCGTCGTAAATCAAGTGTAGAAGAATTGCATAAAAATAGGGACCACCATCATAATATATTATACATATATTGTAACGTTTTAAGTTTTTGCGACACCGACTGAGCACTATTACTGACTGTGGCTTACCGTCTCGCAAATGTTCATATTGCAACAGTTCTCGATGGTTATTTCGCACTGTTGATTCTCCTGTTGAGGCGGTCGGCAAGTCAGAGGAGTGATGCTCTTGTTCACGACGATGCGCTTCTTGATCCTGGGACGGCGGCCCAGCAACCGCACTTTTCTCGACAGCACCATGGTTATGGTGCCAAGGCTGGCGACGAACACCGTGAGTATGGCGATCACGGCCACCATGCTCTTGCTGAGCTTGCACGGCGACATGTCCGAATGGTTGAGCATGGCCATTTCCGAATAATCGAACTGCCTGCTGTATTCGTCACACCTGCAAGAAAAAAAAACCAAAAAAATTGTCATCATGCGTCGAAAACTGTCAGGGGCTAATGCGCGCGGGCGAGGTACTCGCGGCTATACACACAAGTCATAACCAATTTAGTATTACACACAAAAATAAGCCCTGGATGAAATTCGAGTTTCGGCATCGTCCTTTTTTTATAAAGTTATGAAATATTTACGACAGATAAATTTAATAATACAGGTATAATCGCATAAATAAATACTATAAGCCGTTAACAGTAGAGCAATCGTAATAATGTACATTATAATTTATATTTCACAGTTAAATATTATTACTCTAGAACCGTATAACCAAGATTCAATATACAAAATATATTATCATTGATTATAATAATAATTATATAAATACTATTTATAATCAATGGTGTTATCAGCGCAAATATTATATATTATAATATACACGGGTTCATCGAAACTATAATAATATAGTATTCAATATTTTAATGTGTATAGGTCTATAATAATTAAATATTATTATTATTATTATTATTATTATATAATAAATCAGCCAAGCTGCATCGTCAGACCGCGAGAAGCAGTGCAATCATAATTCACATACAATATAGGTTCAACAGGTTACAAATTTATAAAATATATAACGCATAATATGAACCTACATTGATTACGCAAGCTCTTTTTAAACCCGGTTCAATATTATGTTACACAAATGGCCAATGGTCCGCGGCGAACAAGTAACAATCATCATAGGTATATAGTTTTTAGAACTATTAAGTATAGGTAGGTACTCAGAGGTACATTCAGTAGTTTAGACTTTAGTTCACTTATGAGCGGTGTTGACGTTGATTTTAAAAAATGATTGAAAACATTGACACCTACCGAATTTATAATATGAATATAATATAGCTAGTGGGTACACCTAACCTATACGGCTATACATCATACATGTTTGAATGTTTCCTAACGTTTCGTAACAGAAAATAATCGAGGCGGCGAAGCAATATTACAATAAAAACAAATAGGTATACATTTGCAAGGAAACTATATAAGTCCTATATATACCGTGTCCGCCTGGTACTTTAAAGGGCCCCGGATGCATTTATTAAGGAGGATACCCAAAAATTGTATTTCCTAAAATGATAAAAAGCGCTTATAAGTAGTGCAAAATATTATTATTTTTTTTTTTAAAGTACCTTATTTAAAACACGCATTAAAGTCAACTACATAGTTAGAGCAATTATTTATAATTCTAAAAAATTATATAATTAATACGCCTTATAACAATATTATACAACTTAATATTTTTTAACGCGATTCAAATTGTGCAATTGATTTTCTTTATATATCAGTAATTTTTGATAAAATTATAATAGTATAATAAACTATATAATATAATGGTATAATATATAATAATTTTCAATAATATCCAATATTCATAGTACTATCAGGGCCCCTCGACACAAATAAGACCGGGGGCCCCGGGCGAGTTCGCAGCTTAACCGCCATGGCCAGGCCGAAACTGCCTATGTACAAATTATACTTATTTCGTTATTATTATTACATTTAGCGTAATTATATAGACAATATCATATTATTCACTGTTTATTGCGTCAACATTTTGAAGTGATATAGGTACAACTCAATCTGGTGGGAGAACTTGTGAGTACTGCGACGCAATAGAATATTATGTTCTGTAGCCGGTGCCTATCGATTTATCGAAATTATACGATCTTTAAATATTTATATGAATCGTATCGTATCGTAACGTATAAGTCTACGGTTCAAGTGTGTGTGAAGCTCGTGAAGTTTAATAAGGTTAATATCTTACTAATTTTGGGGCTAATGTCTTGTTCTATGAAAACGGGATAACCAGTCGGTGAGTAACAAATAAAGACGTTTACAGACAAATCCACAAGTAGTCGACATCCTTGACATATTGAGATAACAAATGTATAATAGACATAATATAATAAATAGCGACAATTGGCGAATAGACGGTCGTATATTTAGTGGTGTGTCCAGAGGGGAGGTTAGGGATTATATTATCTCCTCCTTCATTGTTCCATAAATCCCCATATTTGTGTCTTCGGTACTACCATCACAATTCATTTAAATGTATTTATTACTTATAACATTCTCCCCCCCCCCCCAATTGAAAATTCTTGGACATATACTATACGCGAGACTACGATTTTGTGGATTTCAAGGCGGTCGCCGCCGAAACATAATATCGTGAAGGTGTACCATATTATAATATATGTTATAGCTCTGTATATTTTATAATCGTATGATATATATAACACGTATAATATACATAGAATATATATATATATATATATATATACTTATATGTGGTGTCAGGTGGACTGAAATAACGAATCGAGGACCTCGGCGACGGCAGGTGTCCTAAAGCAGAGTAAGTTTTTACGGTATACTTTCCGGGTACGTATATAATATATAATTGTAAATTGTTCCTCGAGATCTTGCACAGAAGTGGTATAGAATTGAAACTATTGCACCACTTATGTACGTCGATCCGCCGTGTGTAACAAACACGTCGTATACCATAATGGTAATTACACTCAGATAATCAACGGTTATCAATAGTCCAACCAGACACTATATACCACCCTATATATGACCTTACATACGAATTCGGACTCGCGGGCATTATACGATGAATTTATGTATATTATGTTCATGTTTTCAGACAAAATGAGCGTAATGAATAATTAACAATACATATCAACAGTAATTTTGTAATATTATAAAACTACAACAAAATCTACTATATTTAGATCATGCGATGTGCTAAATCTAATATTTTAACGTAAGCCATTATCGTTGTTCTGTTAAAATGTTTGTCATTGACCGTATAAACATTTTTTTTCATACATTTTGAAGTAGTAAATTAAATTTTTTAACCGGAAGAGGGATACTATTCCAAAAATACTGAATATTTTTTTACACGACTTCATTCGTAAGTGTCGAAAATGAAAGTATAAAATATATTCGTTACAAAAAATCGAAAAACCTAACAAAATTCAACCATAATAATTAGGTTTTTATTCAAAATCGTAATTTAACGATTACTTAAATTAATAAATAATAATATATAAGAATATTGTTTTCCTCCAGCTCCACAACTGACCGAGACCATATAGCGAACCACAGAACATTGCCGTTAAAAATAAAATACATAATATCATTGATTATAAATACCAGTATTTATAATGATACTAGAATTTATAATCAATAATAATATCAGGGCCGTCCTTGGGGGTGGCGAGCAGAGCCCAGTCCCTGGTTCTCGCACTTTTTATTTACATTTAGAGGCCTTGCGTTTGAAAAAAGTGGTAAAATTGGTTTAAAAATTGGTATGGTGCCACGAGTTCTCGAATTAAGTACTTATAGTTTTCGTTTCGACGGTTATTTATCGATCGAAATTATAAATCACCTGCAGACGGACGACTGTTGCTGTTTGGACATGGCGTGCTGACAGTACACGGTGCACACCTCGTTCAGCCAGGACGCCTTGTACTCGCACGCGTCACCCGCGTACCCGACCGGGCACTCGCACCTTGGGTTGCCGGCCCCGTCCATCGTGCAATCGCCGCCGTTCTGGCACCGGCCCGCGCACAGCTGCTTATCGCACCGGTCACCGTAGCTCGTCTCCGAGCACTGGCACGTCGGCTGTCCCGCGTCCGACAGCGTGCACGTCCCGTACGCACAGTAACCGTCGCACACGCCCGTCTGGCAGTATTCGCCCTCGAATCCCGGAGCGCACGTGCACGTCCCGTTGGCGTGCAACACGCCCTTGTTCTTGCAAATGTTCCTCAACACTTCGTAAGGGATCAGTTCCGGCGTCGGTTCCGTGGTCGTCGTCACCGCGATGTCCTGCTTAAACGAACGACGTTATTAATATTATTATTATTATTATTGCATGATGGGGAGGGGGGGGGGGCAGAGAAATGTAAGTATTATTGTGTAGTTATTGCACGACATAACCGAAATATTGCATAATTGTATTTGTAGATGAGAATACCAACAGAGTCCGAGCGTAGAGTATTTTTTCGTAATTTTATTTTAAAACAATTAATATGAATTTGAAAAAATGTGTTTAAAAATATGTAAGTACTCGTAAGTCATAACTAATTTTATTCCTAGTAGAAACATGAGCAAAAAGGTCAACGGTTCAGTCGATATTTTCCTCTGCGAATATTCAATAATATGTCAATTTGCTCTACTTTTTACTATAGCTGATAAACTGCGTAGTATTAGAATCATGTAAGAATATTGTCCATGTTACTCGTGTGTAAGACAGGGACAACACATGCGCGTGTAGCGTCCTCTAAAAGCATAATATATATATTATATAGTACGCGGGATGTGGCTGCTATACAGTAACGGGACGCGGGGACGGAGAAACGACACAGCTGATTATATAATATTATTTAGCTATATATATATATACATCACCGGCGCCTAGTTAAAGTCCGATTACCGAGAATTCGTACTATTGATTTTATTTGTTTATCGAAAACAGACACTTTAAAAAAAAAAATACATACAGACTATAAACTACATTATTTAGGTACCTAAATAACCGCACGCGTTTCTTCGCTCGACAAAATATATGCTATGAAACCGCACATTAAAAAATATTAATAATAAAAACTAGGATCTTCATTGTGTAAATTATCACAATTAAAATATTTTAAAAAAACATTGAAATTATATTAATTACACATTTGTGTAGTTTATTCACATTAATTATTAAATTATTTTGTATTACCTATTATTATTAAAATATTAAATTTAATGAATATTGACTATAATAATATAATATATATTGCAGCAAGTACCTATGGTGGCAATCTTAAAACTATAAATACCGATATTCGGTCTCGACGGACCATAGTTTGGTAATTTAATAAGACCATTATATTGAACATTTGACAGTGTACAACTGTACAAACTACAAATTTATATGTTAATTAAAAATATTTAAGTTTTTAATTTCATAAAAATAAATAGAAACCTATTCATATTTTTTTTTTTAAGTGTCATGTTATGTTTGTGAAAACAAACCTTGAAAACTCATAAACAAAAAAATTCCGAGTTTAAGAATAGAAATTGCGAAAAAATTGGGTACCGCAATCACAGCTGTAGTAGAAATACGTTAAAAAATAATTTTTCACCATTTTCATTCACGATTGGCGATTATAAATGAGTGTAAAATGTAGTAACTAGTGGGTAAAAAACAAAACACCGAAAAAAGTACATTTAAAAAGTTGAATAACATAAGACAACTGACGTTGACTATTAATACTGTATGTATGTCGTAAGAAACCCCTATGTTCGATTGGGTATTTATTCAAACGTACAGAGGGAGTCACTCTGTAGATTTTGTATAAAATAGTAGGCGATTGTGCATATCGTAATAGTTGTATAGGTAATTATAGTGAATAAGTAACAGTAAAATAGGATAGCATAACTTGATATGCCATTATTTTCATCGTTTAGAGAAATTAATTTTAAGACTACCGTATACCTATATAGTTAAAATCATAAAAATAATATATTTTCTTCACAAATAATAAACGAAGATAAATGGCACGGCAAGGAAGACACCTATATACATCATACCTGCATGTTGTATCCGACTTCGTAAAATAAGAATTCCATACCGGATAATAAAATTACACGAAAACTATAGTAAAAAATGACACATTTAATTCTGGTGCAGCCAGAACGAGTGGACTATCTAGGGTCTGGCGGGGGTCACTGCAGGGAATCAGTGAGATACGTACTTTTGACCTGTGCATCGCGCAATACGTGCTGTTGACCATAGTAGTGTTGCCGGTGGGCGTTATCAGTCCCATGGGCGTGTTGATCAAATCGTACTTGGCGACCAGCAACGGCTCCACGCCGCCCTGGAACGAGTCCTTGGGCATCGTCCACACGGCGTTGTTGATCCAGTCGCTCCAGTAGATATCCCGGTCGTCCACCGCTATGGAGAAAGGCTGGTGGTGCGTGCCGTGGATGAGCGTCCTCCGGGAACCGCCGTCCGGGTTGCTGCTCTCGATGCTGTAGTAAAGGCCCTCGTGCTCGTCGCTCCAGTAGATTAAGTTACGTTCCACGTCCACTGCGATGCCCAACGGCTGGAAAAGGTTCTTGTGCACAATGATCTGACGATCGGAGCCGTTCAGGCGCGACCGTTCGATGGTCGCGTTTAAATGGTTACAGTTCGTCCAGTACAGATACCTAAAACACGAAAACGTATTACCGATTATTATTTTTGAAACGGTTTTGTGAGATTCCAAATTTTTTGTGAAGGGGGGGGGGGAATAGAGCAGACATTGAGAGTTGCATTGTCGAAGAGCACGGACTTAAGTTTAGCTTAGTTGCTTAATATTTAAACGCCGATTAGATAAGCCAGCTGTATCGAGTTAGCCGCAAATCCATTCAAAATTACCACTGTCATTTATAAGTTTTCAAACAATGATTTCGAAATTATTGCCAACCAAAATAAACATTAATTTGCTCACGTACAAGTATTTAATGTAGATTTTGAAATGAAGTAAAACGATTCTATATAGTTTTACATCTAAATTGTGTATAATATTATGTTTATCTGAAGAGACACTTTTAACTCTTTGGAATTATTAGTGTTCATTACTGTCTGTACACATCAGAATCTTATCAAAAATTAAATATTGTATGATGTTATTAGGGTTCAGATTTTTAAAACTGTGACGTTTGGAGAAATAAATGTATTATTAATAATATCATTAAATAATATTTATATTATATTTTGTTCGATATCCGATATTCGATATTCCGTCAAAATATTAATAAATAATCAGGATTCGAGATCAGCTATCCACTTAGATCATTGTTTTCCACTTCGTACTAAAATATTTAACATTACCTATACTATAATTTTTTTTTTTTTTTTTTTTTTTTTTTATTGGATAACCCGCGGCAACATAGGCCATTGGGTGTTGGTAGGGAACTGTAGGTTTTTAGATTGGGTAGGTTGGTACACGTGTGTGTTTGTGGTGGCAGAATTTTTATTGGGGCACCCGTAGGGGGTCTGTCTATACGCAGTCGATTAGACCACCACCGCCGTTATCATTTTGTTGTTATCAAAAAAAAATGTTATCTTAAATATTATATTCTCACTCATATCAAATATTATTATTGTATATTATTTATAAATTAAATCCAAGTCTTTTGCTGGAAGTCATGTACTCATGTTACAATGATACAAATGATTTAAATAAAATTTAAAATTTAAATAAAACCTATAGTATTCATACTAATTAATAATTTACCTTCATATTTTATTGACTTTGCCACAACGTATCCGTAACCTAATTCTAACAAATGGTTATTAAAACAACTTAAATCACTCATTTCTCCTTGTATACTATTGTTCATGATTTTTGAATTGTTTAATAAATGTTTAAGGCTGTTAAAATACATTGTATCTTCCATTTTAATAAAAATTACACCAAAATTACAACCAAAATTTAAATCAATTATTTAATCAAACGACTAAAAGAGTTTCATAATACTTATACTTATATAGGTACAAATAACAATAAAGTGGAATAACCCATTCATATCAAATAATCTTCAATATATTTTTTTTTTCCTAATAATATAATAATATGTATATCATTTTAAATTGTTTTTGAGATATTGTATTTGATGTGATTATATTTTGATATTGTAAGGAACTTTATTGTATTTTATGAACACAACTTATCCACATACAAGCAATGGGTGCTTTTAGAATGAGTTTGCAACTGTTCTGATTACTTATGTAAAATTGTAAATTCTTGTGGTTGCAATAAATATTATTATTAAATAATAAAAATGTTTTTATTCAATAAATGAATATTTTATAATATTATTATTATTATTATTATTATTTGTATTTTTTTTTACTAAGTACAATTGACTATCAATTTTATCAAAACACAATTTCAATCATTGTAACATGACTTCCAGCAAAAGACTTGGATTTAATTTATAAATAATATACAATAATAATATTTGATATGAGTGAGAATATAATATTTAAGATAACATTTTTTTTTGATAACAACAAAATGATAACGGCGGTGGTGGTCTAATCGACTGCGTATAGACAGACCCACCCGTAGGTTTCTGCCATGCCCCGGGTTGGGGGATGGCGGCACTTGTACTCCGGACACCGTGACTTGCCCGGAGAAAAATGCCGCCCAGTGGTCGAGAGGCGAACCCGCGACTGCCAGCGCCGCAGTCGACGCGTTAGACCGCTCGGCCACCTCGTCCCCCATACTATAATTTGCTTCTTTAAATACTAAATAAAACACTTCAACAGAAAGAAAAAGCTCAACATTTCGGAATCGTAAATTTGTTATCTTATTTAGTTCATAATGTATATGTATGTACAATCCACCGGCTAAAGTAATACGTCGTCAATGGCCAGCGTGAAGGTTATCAAAATAATGTGATCAATACTGCTCATTAACATAATTTAATATTATAGTGACCTATCTGTATGTTCATTAAACCTCCTATTATTAATGAATACCATTTGTTCAAATTATAGTTCAGTTAAGGCTATACAAATTATGTTTTAAAATATAAAAATGTTTAAATTTAGTTTGAATTAATAAAACATCATCAATTTAAAAATGAAAATAATAATAATATCTATGGTAAATTGAACCTAGGTACAATATAAGTTAGGTTATAATAAAGATATACTAAAAACTGTGATCGTTATTCGTTTATATATAGGTACTTAAGTAAAATCGATTAAAATTGAATACGAAAGATCATAATTCATAATATTATACGTACCTATAAAATTTTAATGAATAATATTAATGGTATTTTGGATCATTTATTAACAAATTACCTTCGATGCGTAATTTAGGTCTGTAGGTGTTCAGAATTAGTTTCCAATGAAACCGAAACTGTACCTATAACCCTAACCTTAAATGCTTCCAATTCATACGTATACATAAAAAATATATTTAAATATCACAACTCTGAAGCAATACATTGATAAAAATAAGCAACTCACCCTCGACACGTGTCGATGGCGATACCCTGGGGTATAGAAGTCTTGAACCTGAACAGGACGTGTCCTGTGAGAGGAACCTTGGTCGTGTTTTCTGGTACGCGAACGTAATTAATGGTTAGCCCGTTGCCGGTGGTCCAGTACAACGTGGACGTACGGTCGTCGAACACCATACCCAGTACGGTAACGTTTTGTTCTGTGGGGAAAAAATCAAACCATTAATACATTTATTATTCGGCGAGAGGGTAAACCTTTTTTCCGGTGACCGCGATGGTCGCGATATACTTACTGGCAACGATGGGTTCGATGATGGTGTAAGCCGTTTCACCGGTAGTCTTAAACCGGAATATACTTCCGACTTTCTGATTGGCATCGCTGACGTATACGTCTTTCTTAATAGGATCATAAGCAATAGCACCCATACTTTTTAACTTATCGGCAGCCGTATTCTCCACGACATTTTTTGTAAGGAACTGAATCTGAGCTGGAGTCACGATGCCCAAATCTATACAAACCGATACATACAAATTAACCAATTGCGATTACACTACTAAAATATAACAGTAGGTACACCTGAAATATTATTGTTTAATCCAGATTACTTATTCAGAGGCGGAACTAAGAATTTTTACGCCCAGGGAAAATATTAAAATTAAGCCCAATCATAGACCAAGATTGAAAATACAATATCATTCCCTACAATTGTTTTATCATAACTGGAACTAAAATTACAAACATACTTATTAACTTTTAAACACATAATAATATATAATAATTAATATATTCTGTGGACTGTGGTGTAACCAAGTTTATACTAATAAACTATCATACCAAAAACGGCAAAAACACTTAAAATTTAAAAACTTAGTCAACATATTGTTGATACATTTTTAATTACTGGAAATACTGTATTGGTTACTTAATTGTATTTATTATTAGAAATAATAATAATATTAGTTATATATAAATGTTGAAAAATAATCAAAACTTTAATTACCTACCTATCCTGTATAAAAATTGTAAACACTTTTGCTGTTTTGGTTCTATGCGTCTCAGCCTTCAATTATAATAGATTTTTATGGTAAAATATAAAATCTTTTATTCTGATTAGGGTACACAATTTAGGCCAGTAAAAAATTGTATTTAATTAAACAATTTATAATAGAAAAAATGAAAAAGTAAATATTTAAAATCAAATCTTTTTTTTTAAACATAAACAAATGTATAACTATCTTGGTAAATATTATAATATATAATATTATAAACTATACTATATTAACATCATTTTTAATATACAGATATAATATACGTATCATATAACAGTGTAGGTATTTGTGTAGGTATCAGAAATTTTAACGAAAACACAGCATCAATAAATGCCTAGGTATAGTTACTAGTTACATTTTCACTCATAATCTTAATAATTATAGTATATTAGTTGTATATGCTTGCAGTAGGTATGCTAATGCCAGTATACCAGTATATACTTAGTATACTAATACGAATCTATTCATAATCTTACTATTAACTTTATTTTTTTTTTTCATTAATTCCAACGTCATCACTACAACATCATAAACAAATAATGTGAAATAAAAATGTTTTCTTAACTTCTATCACCAAGCATTAAATAAAGAACTAAAGAAAAATTACGCCCACTAAAATTTTACGCCCGGGGATCAATCCCCGGCTTCACCCCCCTAGTTCCGCCCCTGCTTATTATAGGTATGATAAGTATAAAGTTTGGATTTGCAGTATAATTTATAAGAGTAAAATCTATATAAAAATATTATGCGTATATATTATAATATACAATTTATAACTATACAGGTATACAGGTATATTAATATGTACGCACTATAGCTTTCACTAGAATGAAAAATATACTATTTTTTACGATTACGTAATTCTATTTCTTCTTTTTTTCCGATAAACTAAACTAAACATTTACATAATATTTTGGTTGGACCATTCATTTTTTATTTTTCATTGCTCTTTAAGAATGAATTAAAAAATATACAAATTTATGTAAATAATAAGACCAATATCAAGGAAAGTATATCAAGTATATTTAACAACAACGTCATAAACTGGGCGATGTACGCGATAATTAAAAGAAACAAATGCGTTCGACTTCCGGTCAACTTTAAATAAAAACCTTTTTGAATTTAAATTTGCTAAAATTATCTCTTCAAGGATTATGAAAATACAATGTAATCGTAGGTATATACGAGTTTGAACTAATTTTTATTCAAATTTGACTTTGAATAATTATAGTTGTTATCGAGGTACCTAGTTATTTAAATAGCTAATTGATTAATTTATATACCTTTAATTATCTGTATACATTTATTGATATGGATAACTAATGTGTAAATAGGACGCGTAGGTACCAATATTTTAAAAGAAAAACTCTCATCCCTTTTGTACTTGCGCTTACTAATTAATATATATATATATATATATATATATATATATAGATTATAGGTGTAAAATATACCTATATTTTCTATATACCTAGATTCTATTTCAACATTGACCTCAATTTTAATTACAAGGTTATCGACATTAAAACAAGGTGAAAAAAACCGATATGCAATAATTAAAATGACAAGTTCGAAGATAGAACTCCGGTTTTCAAATTGTTTGGTTCTGCAGGAATTAATTATATTTCATACATCATCAATATACCTATAATCAGATGTGGAGGAGATAAATTTATCCAAGGGCAGGCTATCCGTACCATTAGTCTTAAAGCTTATTTCCTGGAATGTGAACTGAAAGTACCAGAAATTACTATTTTCAATTGTTGTGAATTGGAGATAATATCAATATCTATCTATCAATTTATTTTAATACCTGCAGATTTTAACCTTGAACTTGTTCATTGATTTCCTCTATTATTTAAATAGTTGTCTAAAAATTCAAAATAAAAACAACAAAACCAATAACACACAAATTGTATAGCACAAAAAAATAGTTTTAGACGTCACAAAATGTAAATTGACTGAAATCGATTATATTACATGGTTATTGGTTATAAATATTGTATTTTTGTATATATTATATAAAAAGAAGTCTATACGACATATTATGATATTATAATCAGAACATTTGTTATTCAGATGTACAATTAAAAAAATATCAATACAATCTCAGAATAGGTGATGGTGTGAATGAAAACCGTAAACTTAATATATCAAATATCAATGTACATTATCGTGTTTTTGAGATTATTAAAGATTCATTACGTGGACGAGTATGATAAATGAGTGATGAATTTCCGAATATAGATCTTAAGGTGTGATTATAATTTATCACAAATTTATAGTTAAATAACTAAATACAATTATTTTGTAATAGTACAAATAGTGCTATACACATACGAACACTATTTATTATTTAGTAATTGTATACGCAGCAAATATACTGAATACATATTAAAATTGACGTTACCACTTACCAGTATCTATGTTTTATTTAACTCATACAAATTTGTTTAAATAATTATGTTATAATTTGCTACAACTGATATAAGTAAGTATTATTTATATCAATTACAATAAAAAGGTATACAAAAACAGTGGAAGGTTACGCTTACTTATTTGAGTACGCTTTTATATAGATATAATAATGTAAGGTAAATGATAACAATTCTATGGAAAGTAATTGAATAGTCGTTAACAAATCTTCAGGAATAAAAACTAAAAGTAATTATGAATAGGTAACTAAACGAACATTTAGATGAAAATTACGATCAATATTACATTGTAACATAACATTTTGAGTGATATTTAAACATATTATCTGATACAATAAATAGGTAATTTCATCATATTAATAGGCAACACGAAATTTATAGCTCAATAAATTTGAAATTACGAATAATAATTATCTAGGTACCTATACGGCTATACATTATTCATTAAAATTTACTTATGTCTACCAACATTTATAATACACCTATTTTTTATGTAGATAAATGCAATACACAAGCAAACAATTATTTAAGAAACGATTACAATGAATAAATTCCAGATTAGAAGAAAAACCCATTTAAGTACATTTTTTTAAGTTCATATAGATAATATTGTTAATATGTATATCAATTATTAATTCAGTAGGTAAACACTTACTAAACACCTACAACGATAACATTTCAGTTATTTATATTTACATAAATTAATAAAAAGAAAAAAGATTTATCATAGTCAACTGCGTTATTTCACAATTTCTATTATTTGTAAGTAGGTAGTAGTACAAAAAATGACATAATTGTATTATTAATAGATAGGCACACCGAACAAAATATTTGATCTTATTTAATAATCATATTCTAATACAGGACGTTTAGTTACAAACACAAGCATCTAGTTTCGAAATTAATGTAAATATAATTAGAAAAATGTATTATATACACCAGAATTATTTATTATATATTCTTTTTAATTTAAATTTATTATATACCTATTACGTAAAATGTCTACTCAAATTGCGTTGTAAAATGTATTCGAAAACGATAATTAACAACATAAAATATATTAAATGATTAACCTTATATTAAATACATCTAATTTTATAATTGGCGACAATTCAAACCTATAGATATAAAGCTAAGAATTTAACGATTGTAATTTTTTAAGTACTATAAAAACATGTGACATCATAACAAGATGAATCAAAATATTTAAAATGTAGGTACGTTAAAAGTTGAGATAGACCATTTAATCCAAGTGGGCAATTAGAAGCTTTCATCACAATATTTAAGTTTTAATTTATATGTTTGGAATTTTAATGCATCTTTTATGTTTTAGAATAATATATTATATTACCTAGCCATGAGATATCTAATAAAAAATAAATTATTTGATATTTGTTAATATTATCAATACCTATAAATATGATAACAATTAGCATCAAAATATCATTATTATTCGTACCTTTATTCTAACCTTTTTACAGAATATTTCATTAAAATGAAATATTTTAAAACTATTTTTACTTATTCATTTAACCTGCTAATGTGTTAGGACTATAATAAGTAGCCTCATTTTGTATTATAGTTATTGGCTTATTACGTCTTATAATAAACAAAATTTCATAACACTGAAATAGAATGTAAACAATTTAGTACTTGAAAAATGATTATATCATTATCATTAGGCCTCCCAAATCGGTCAAATCCGAATTTCCATAATTTTATTTAGTCAATGAATGAGTTCTATACCTGTGTCAGCCAAAACTGTACAGTTCAAAACAATCCCAGCTTGATTTACAGTAATCACTAGACAGTACTTCAGTAGCCAACCATCATCTATTTTTAACGTCAATACCGAACACTCTGAATACTGTAGCTAGCGCTAAGCCCTTCGATTAACACCTGAATCACGTGTCATAATGACAAATTATATTATATGGTACCAATGTATTGATAACAAGATAAAATTACTAATATAAGCAATGCAATACGCATTAATCAATAAATCTAGTGTTGACCAGATTTGA